GCCTTTGCATAGTCAATGAATCACAGACATTCTTCTGGTACTCTGGGTTTCAGCCAAGATTCATCTGACATTAGCTATGATGTCCCTAGTACCATGGCTTCTTCTAAACCCAGCTTGTACTTCTGGTAGTTCTCTGTTGATGTACTGTTCCAGTCATTTGTAGATAATCTTCAGTAGGATTTTGCTTGTGTGTGATATTAGTGATATCATTTGACAGTTTCTACACTCTGGGATCACTTTTTTTTTAAATGGGAATACATATGAATCTCTTCCAGTCAGGTGGCCAGGTAGTCGTCCTCTAGATTTCTTGACACAGCCTGGTGAGCAAGTCCAGGTCCGCATCTGTTTGTTGAAATATGTCAACAACTATTCCATCAACTCCTTAGGCCTTGGTTTTTGCTAGTTTCTTCACAGTAGCTTGAACTTCCTCCTCCATCACCACTGCCTCTTGAGCATAAGATGTTTCATAAAGTTCTTCTGTGTCCGCCAGTTCTTTCTAGTATAATGACTCAGTGTATTTATTTCCTCTTCTTTTGATGCATTCTGGATCATTCAATATTCTGTCCAAAGCATTCTCAAGGATTGCCACTTGAGGCTTGAATATGTTCTTCAGTTTCTTCAGCTTGAGAAATACTGAGTGAGTTCTCTCCTTTTGATTTTCCGACTCCAGCTCTTTGCACATATCCTTATAAGACCTTGCTTTTTCTTCCCAAGCAGCCCTTTGATACCATCTATTCAGCTCTTTAACTTCCTGATTTGTTCCCTGTGCCTTGGCTCCTTAGAATTCTAGTGTAATATTCAGAGTCTCTTCTGACATCCATCTCAGTCTGTTCTTCTTCCACTGTCTTAGTAATGACTTTTTGCATTCTTCATAAATGATATTCTTGATATCCTCCCACCACTTGTCTGGGCTCCATTCATTAATGTTCAAGGGTTCAACCCTGTTTCTGAGATGGTTTTTTAATTCAGATGGGATAAACTCAAGGTCAAATTTTGGTTCTTATGATTTTTTTTTCTACTTTTCTTTAACTTCAGCTTCAACTTGCATAAGAGTAGTTGATGATCTGTTCTGCAATCAGCATCTAGCCTATTTTTCACTGAGCTTCTCCAATGATTCTTTCCACAGATGTAATCAATCTGATTCCTGTGTAGACCATCATGTGATGTCCATGTATATAGTCTCCATTTGTGTTTGTGAGAAAAATGGGAATCCAACAACACTTGCAAAACCTATACTTGGAGCAGGAAGCAACTGTCAGAACAGAGCAAAGAAACACTGCATGGTTCAAAATCAAGAAAGAAGTGTGTCAGGAATGCATCCTGTTTCCATCCTTTTTTAACCTATATGCAGAACAGGTTATTCAGAAGGTCAGACTTTATGAGGAGGAATGTGACATCAGGATTGGAGGAAGACTCATCAACAACCTGCACCATGCAAAAGACGGAACCCTGCTTGTCAGAACTGAGGACTTGAAGCCTTTGCTACAGAAGGTCAAGAACTGAGGTCTTCAACATGGACTGAAGCTCAACATGAAGAAAACAAAGAATCTCACCACTGTGCCAATTGGCAGCACCATGATAGATGGAGAAGAGATTGAACTTGTTAACAATTTCAGCTTACTTGGTTCCACAACCAACAACCCTTGACACCAGCAGTTAGGAAATCAAGAAATGAATTGCACTGGGAAAATCTGCTGTCAGGGTCCTCAACCAGAGTGCTAAAGAGCAACGATATCAGTCTAGAGATTAAGGTATGCTTGATGCAGGCCATGGTCTTCACAATTACTTGCTATCCATCAGAAATCTGGACAATGGATAAAGATGACAGAAGAAAAATTGATGCCTTTGAGTTGTGGTGCTGGAGAAGAGTATTGAACATATCATGGACTGCCAAAAGAATAAGCAGGTCTATCCTAGAGAGGGTGAAACCAAGTTGCTCTCTGGAGGGTAGGATTTTGAAGCTATGTCTGACATACTTTGTGCGTGGACTAGTCCTAGGAGAAGGAGATAATGCTTGGTAGGGTGGAAGGACAATGCAAAAGAGAATGACCCAGAATGAGACAGATTGAAACTGTAACTGGGGGCATGGGTAGGTGTGTTGAAGATAGTGAGACTGGCTCAAGATCGGGTAAAGTTCAGAGATATTTTATAAAGGGTTGCTATGAGTCACAGGGAAATCTATGGCAGCACATAACAACAACAACAAAACATGAGTCTCTAGGGAGCTCTGGTAGCATAATGGGGAAGAATTATGTTGCCAGCACAAAGGTACAAGGTTTGAATTCACAAGCTGCTCCATGGTCGAAAGATGGGCAGTAATCAACTACCATGAAACTTAGTGCCTCTGAAAACCCACTGGAGGGTCATCTGTGAGTCGATGACACACTTATAATAACATGGACTCACTATGGGTCAGAATCTACTCAATGACAATTGTTTATGGTCAAACCAAGAAATCTTAAAAATAAGGAAAACTGTTGTAAAGAAGAAGAATAGTAAAGAATATTGTTGTATTGTTATATGCCTTGAAGTCACCTGCAACTCAGAGCAACCTTAAGTACAACAGCTCTGAACCCTGCCCTATCCTAGGCAAATCTCACAATCTCCAACAGACCTAACTAATCCCATTTCTCCAGTCACTGAGTCAATCCATCACATCCTGGGTCGTCATATCCTGAGCTGTCCTTCCATCCTTCCAACCATAATGTATGTAAGATGGCGCTTCAAAATTCTTACCTCCAAGGAGCAGCTTGGTTTCACCCTTTCCAGGACAGAACTGTTTGGTTTTCTGGCAGTCTATGATTCAACACACCTCTGCAGCACCAAAACGCAAAAACATCAATTCTTCTATCATTCTTAGTCATCATGAGGGAAATCATACTTTGGAGGGTAGAGGAATAGCACAAGAGAGACAGACCCTTGATGAGATGGATTGATTCAGTAACTGGGCAATGAGGGTAGATGTGTCAGAGATAATAAGGGGCTGGCACAAGATAGAGCAGGGTTCAGAGCTGTTGTACATAGGGTCATTATGAGTTGCAAGAGACCCAATGGCACATAATGTGTGTGTGTGTGTGTG